ACTGTCACTGAAATAATGGAAAAGATCATTTTCAGCCAACTGTAACTTTAACATCTTATCCCCCCATCAGTCAGGCTTCCAGGCTACTCGACTACCAAGGCACTACTTACATTTACAAAGGATGGTTTCCCGTCCATCCTTCCATTTTCTTCCGCTTCATCCGTTGCGGGGGCAGCAGTCTAAGCAGAGACGCCCAGACTTCCCTATCCACACTTCCTCCAGCTCGTCCGGGGGGACCCCAAGGCGTTCCCAGGCCAGCTGAGAGACATAGTCCCTCCAGCGTGTCCTGGGTCTTCCCCGGGGCCTCCTCCCGGTGGGACGTGCCCGGAACACCTCCCCAGGGAGGCGTCCAGGAGGCATCCTGAACAGATGCCCGAGCCACCTCAACTGGTTCCTCTCGACGTGGAGTAGCAGCGGCTCTACTCCGAGCTCCTCCCGTGTGACTGAGCTCCTCACCCTATCTCTAAGGGAGCGCCCAGCCACTCTGCGGAGGAAGCTCATTTCGACCGCTTGTATCCGCGATCTCGTTCTTTCGGTCATTACCCACAGCTCATGACCATAGGTGAGGGAGGGAACGAAGATTGACCGGTAAATCGAGAGCTTCGCCTTTTGGCTCAGCTCCCTCTTTACCACAACAGTATTCCTGGTCTAGGAGAAATACAAAGGAGTAATGGTCATTTTAAGGACCTGATGGCAGCCATTTTGAAAATGAGGCCTTTTTTGGAGTCAAACTTTGGTAAACTTTTAGTATGTTTTTAAGGACATCTGATACTACTGTAACCCACTGAGAAACCTTTTGTTAGAATTTTTTTGGGGTCAAGTCATGTTTGCAGCTGATTAAACGGAGAATCTATGGTCAGATTTTAGCTGTATCTGAAACGCTGTCACCTCATGTTTAGTCCTGACTCTGGGACCAGCAGGAGGTCAGTCCCTGTGCTCCTCAGAGTCCAAGCAAAACAAAAATCTCTCTTTAGAATAGAACGTTACAGACATGTGACAGTGATATTTATTTATTTCATATTTGTGTGAATTCATCTCAGTTTAGAGAGGCGCAAAAAACAGTGAATAACTTTACACCATTACATTTAGAATTATGAAACTATTTCCTGAAACGTATTTAAGCACAATTCACTGCAGTTTCTTCAGTGTTTAGTCTGTTCCCACAACCTCCAACGTTTCAATCAATAAATCATCAGTAAAAGTTCAGTTTCTGCCTCGTGATTAAACATATATAAATCAATAAAACCCTGATTGTGTTTTTCTTTTTGTCAATTGCTGTTGATGTGTGTTCTACAGTGTTCATTATGGCTGAGCCTTGGACTGAAATCCAATCTGTAAATCCATACTGACTTTCATGCAATAGTTTTCTTTTCTTTCTATGAAGCTGTCTAAATTATTCACAAATTGAGATAATAGTGAAACTGGTCTGTAATTGTTAAATTTATGTTTGTCTCCAGTTTTGAAAAAAGGAATTACCGTAGCGGTTTTCAGCCCATCTGGAAAAAGACAGATTAATGATATAATGTAGTGGTTTAATAAAACAATCTATGGTTAGTTTTTATATTTGCACGTCAACGCCATCACTGTCCAAGGATTTCTTGTTTTTTAATTTAGAAACAACAGATAATATTTCATTATCAGTCACTTCATCTAAAAACACTGATTGCATCATTCTATTTTTCCTGGTCCAAACGCTTTGGATTTGGCCATTTGCTCTTGGTATTTCACTCGCTAAATTAGTCCCACATTTATGAAGAACATATTTAACTCATTGACCATTTCTTTATTTTCAATTACTAGATTATTGTCCTTTTCAAAATACTTGGGTAACTCTGTTGAACTCTGTTTTAGGTCCGTGGACCGTGAGCCATGGGCCGTGGAAAATGGCCCGAGGTCCGGCCGCATAGACTTGAATTTACACTTTCTGATAAAGAAACTCATTATTTGTTTCAAAGTATTCCCCAATCACTAATGCAACACACTGCAGCTTATGAAATACACTTTTGTAGAGCCAGATCTCAGCTGTGCTCCTCTTTGCCCACATACTCTTCCGGGCCCTTGTGTTGGCCGCCTGTTCACCAGCTCCAGTGCCTCTGTCTGATCACACAGCATGTCATCGCTGCTGCACCACTGCGCACATGTGTGCTGCTGTAGAGCCGCACACTTCTGCTGCTGTAGAGCCGCACACTTCTGCTGCTGTAGAGCCGCACACTTCTGCTGCTGTAGAGCCGCACACTCGTGCTGCTGTAGAGCCGCACACTTCTGCTGCTGTAGAGCCGCACACTTCTGCTGCTGTAGAGCCGCACACTTCTGCTGCTGTAGAGCCGCACACTTCTGCTGCTGTAGAGCCGCACACTTCTGCTGCTGTAGAGCCGCACACTTCTGCTGCTGTAGAGCCGCACACTTCTGCTGCTGTAGAGCCGCACACTTCTGCTGCTGTAGAGCCGCACACTCGTGCTGCTGTAGAGCCGCACACTTCTGCTGCTGTAGAGCCGCACACTTCTGCTGCTGTAGAGCCGCACACTTCTGCTGCTGTAGAGCCGCACACTTCTGCTGCTGTAGAGCCGCACACTTCTGCTGCTGTAGAGCCGCACACTTCTGCTGCTGTAGAGCCGCACACTTCTGCTGCTGTAGAGCCGCACACTTCTGCTGCTGTAGAGCCGCACACTTCTGCTGCTGTAGAGCCGCACACTCTTTCATTTAAATCAATGGTTAAAACAGTTTATACTTACCAGATCTTGCCCGATCACAGTGATCTTTCTGTTTATACAAAGGCCTATTCTAAATGTATTAAACTGTCTGTATCTATTCTAAATGTATTAAACTGTCTGTATCTATTCTAAATGTATTAAACTGTCTGTATCTATTCTAAATGTATTAAACTGTCTGTATCTCCTAAAGTAAAGGAGACTCATTTCAAGATAATCAATCACATCTTTATTCCGGACTCAAGGTCCAAGAGACAACGCAAAGTCTAATGACTCATTTACAAAGACACTTGTACCAGTGATCCCAGAACTGAGAAATACAGCGTGTCGTACCAGTGATCCCAGAACTGAGAAATACAGCGTGTTGTACTGAACTTGACATTCACCAAAACAAACAAAAACCTCCCACCACCACAGCGCTACCGTCGCTTCGTTGACGTGGGTCACTTCCGGTCTGCGCCGTTTGTAGAGAAATGGCCATGGATCTATAGGCTCTAACCATGGATCTATAGGCTCTAACCATGGATCTATAGGCTCTAACCATGGATCTATAGGCTCTAAGGCTCTAACCATGGATCTATTGGCTCTAACCATGGATCTATAGGCTCTAACCATGGATCTATAGGCTCTAAGGCTCTAACCATGGATCTATTGGCTCTAACCATGGATCTATAGGCTCTAACCATGGATCTATAGGCTCTAACCATGGATCTATTGGCTCTAACCATGGATCTATAGGCTCTAACCATTTTTTTTTTTTTTTTTAATTCTTTATTTGAATTGGGACAGTGCACATTAATCAACATGTGTTTTTTCAACATGTAAATGCGCCGGAGTTAGCCATATAGGCTAATTTTCATCCGTAGTCCCATGGCAGGTTGATGTCAAGATAGGTAGTATAGGACATACAACAGGCACAAACATACAGCAGAAACACCATCACAGAGACATAAAAAGACAGTGAAAGAAGAATACAACATATAGTTAAAAATGCAAGGAATATATAAGAATTTGTTCAACTAAAAATTCAGAAAGGGACAATATACACAACACCAAAATCCTCCACAGCAAGACATGTATCAGTGTTTGGTGACTTTAGTTCATGTTGTGTTCACATGTCTGATTGTCCAAAAGCCACTTCTTCACAGAGTTCCTAAAAATGTGAAATGAGGTCAGGTTCCTCAATTCTGTTGGAATCAAGTTCCAGGAATGTGCTGCGCGTACTGAGTAGGCAGATTGTCCAAATGAAGTTTTTCTAAATGGGATTCTACCATGGATCTATAGGCTCTAACCATGGATCTATAGGCTCTAACCATGGATCTATAGGCTCTAACCATGGATCTATAGGCTCTAACCATGGATCTATAGGCTCTAACCATGGATCTATTGGCTCTAACCATGGATCTATAGGCTCTAACCATGGATCTATTGGCTCTAACCATGGATCTATAGGCTCTAACCATGGATCTATTGGCTCTAACCATGGATCTATAGGCTCTAACCATGGATCTATTGGCTCTAACCATGGATCTATAGGCTCTAACCATGGATCTATAGGCTCTAACCATGGATCTATTGGCTCTAACCATGGATCTATAGGCTCTAACCATGGATCTATAGGCTCTAACCATGGATCTATTGGCTCTAACCATGGATCTATAGGCTCTAACTATGGATCTATAGGCTCTAAGGCTCTAACCATGGATCTATAGGCTCTAACCATGGATCTATAGGCTCTAAGGCTCTAACCATGGATCTATAGGCTCTAAGGCTCTAACCATGGATCTATTGGCTCTAAGGCTCTAACCATGGATCTATTGGCTCTAACCATGGATCTATAGGCTCTAACCATGGATCTATAGGCTCTAATTATGGATCTATAGGCTCTAACCATGGATCTATAGGCTCTAACCATGGATCTATAGGCTCTAACCATGGATCTATAGGCGCTAACCATGGATCTATAGGCTCTAAGGCTCTAACCATGGATCTATAGGCGCTAACCATGGATCTATAGGCTCTAACCATGGATCTATAGGCTCTAAGGCTCTAACCATGGATCTATAGGCTCTAACCATGGATCTATAGGCTCTAACCATGGATCTATTGGCTCTAACCATGGATCTATAGGCTCTAACCATGGATCTATAGGCTCTAACCATGGATCTATAGGCTCTAACCATGGATCTATAGGCTCTAACCATGGATCTATTGGCTCTAAGGCTCTAACCATGGATCTATAGGCTCTAACCATGGATCTATAGGCTCTAACCATGGATCTATTGGCTCTAACCATGGATCTATAGGCTCTAACCATGGATCTATTGGCTCTAACCATGGATCTATAGGCTCTAACCATGGATCTATAGGCTCTAACCATGGATCTATAGGCTCTAACCATGGATCTATAGGCTCTAACCATGGATCTCTATTGGCTCTAACCATGGATCTATAGGCTCTAACCATGGATCTATTGGCTCTAACCATGGATCTATAGGCTCTAACCATGGATCTATAGGCTCTAACCATGGATCTATAGGCTCTAACCATGGATCTATAGGCTCTAAGGCTCTAACCATGGATCTATAGGCTCTAAGGCTCTAACCATGGATCTATAGGCTCTAACCATGGATCTATTGGCTCTAAGGCTCTAACCATGGATCTATTGGCTCTAAGGCTCTAACCATGGATCTATTGGCTCTAACCATGGATCTATAGGCTCTAACCATGGATCTATAGGCTCTAACCATGGATCTATTGGCTCTAACCATGGATCTATAGGCTCTAACCATGGATCTATTGGCTCTAACCATGGATCTATAGGCTCTAACCATGGATCTATAGGCTCTAACCATGGATCTATAGGCTCTAACCATGGATCTATAGGCTCTAACCATGGATCTATAGGCTCTAACCATGGATCTATAGGCTCTAACCATGGATCTATAGGCTCTAACCATGGATCTATTGGCTCTAACCATGGATCTATAGGCTCTAACCATGGATCTATAGGCTCTAACCATGGATCTATAGGCTCTAACCATGGATCTATTGGCTCTAACCATGGATCTATAGGCTCTAACCATGGATCTATAGGCTCTAACCATGGATCTATAGGCTCTAACCATGGATCTATTGGCTCTAAGGCTCTAACCATGGATCTATAGGCTCTAACCATGGATCTTTAGGCTCTAACCATGGATCTATTGGCTCTAACCATGGATCTATAGGCTCTAACCATGGATCTATAGGCTCTAACCATGGATCTATTGGCTCTAACCATGGATCTATAGGCTCTAACCATGGATCTATAGGCTCTAACCATGGATCTATAGGCTCTAACCATGGATCTATAGGCTCTAACCATGGATCTATAGGCTCTAAGGCTCTAACCATGGATCTATAGGCTCTAACCATGGATCTATTGGCTCTAACCATGGATCTATTGGCTCTAAGGCTCTAACCATGGATCTATTGGCTCTAACCATGGATCTATAGGCTCTAACCATGGATCTATAGGCTCTAACCATGGATCTATTGGCTCTAACCATGGATCTATAGGCTCTAACCATGGATCTATAGGCTCTAACCATGGATCTATAGGCTCTAACCATGGATCTATAGGCTCTAACCATGGATCTATAGGCTCTAACCATGGATCTATAGGCTCTAACCATGGATCTATAGGCTCTAACCATGGATCTATAGGCTCTAACCATGGATCTATAGGCTCTAACCATGGATCTATTGGCTCTAACCATGGATCTATAGGCTCTAACCATGGATCTATAGGCTCTAACCATGGATCTATTGGCTCTAACCATGGATCTATTGGCTCTAACCATGGATCTATAGGCTCTAACCATGGATCTATAGGCTCTAACCATGGATCTATTGGCTCTAACCATGGATCTATTGGCTCTAACCATGGATCTATAGGCTCTAACCATGGATCTATTGGCTCTAACCATGGATCTATTGGCTCTAACCATGGATCTATAGGCTCTAACCATGGATCTATAGGCTCTAACCATGGATCTATAGGCTCTAACCATGGATCTATAGGCTCTAACCATGGATCTATAGGCTCTAACCATGGATCTATAGGCTCTAACCATGGATCTATTGGCTCTAACCATGGATCTATTGGCTCTAACCAAGGATCTATAGGCTCTAACCATGGATCTATAGGCGCTAACCATGGATCTATAGAAGCTAACCATGGATCTATAGGCTCTAACCATGGATCTATAGGCTCTAAGGCTCTAACCATGGATCTATAGGCTCTAACCATGGATCTATAGGCTCTAACCATGGATCTATTGGCTCTAACCATGGATCTATAGGCTCTAACCATGGATCTATAGGCTCTAACCATGGATCTATAGGCTCTAACCATGGATCTATAGGCGCTAACCATGGATCTATAGGCTCTAAGGCTCTAACCATGGATCTATAGGCGCTAACCATGGATCTATAGGCTCTAACCATAGATCTATAGGCTCTAAGGCTCTAACCATGGATCTATTGGCTCTGACCATGGATCTATAGGCTCTAACCATGGATCTATTGGCTCTGACCATGGATCTATAGGCTCTAACCATGGATCTATAGGCTCTAACCATGGATCTATTGGCTCTAACCATGGATCTATAGGCTCTAACCATGGATCTATAGGCTCTAACCATGGATCTATAGGCTCTAACCATGGATCTATAGGCTCTAACCATGGATCTATAGGCTCTAACCATGGATATATAGGCTCTAACCATGGATCTATTGGCTCTAACCATGGATCTATAGGCTCTAACCATGGATCTATAGGCTCTAACCATGGATCTATTGGCTCTGACCATGGATCTATAGGCTCTAACCATTGATCTATAGGCTCTAAGGCTCTAACCATGGATCTATAGGCTCTAACCATGGATCTATAGGCTCTAACCATGGATCTATAGGCTCTAAGGCTCTAACCATGGATCTATAGGCTCTAAGGCTCTAACCATGGATCTATAGGCTCTAACCATGGATCTATAGGCTCTAACCATGGATCTATAGGCTCTAACCATGGATCTATAGGCTCTAAGGCTCTAACCATGGATCTATAGGCTCTAACCATGGATCTATAGGCTCTAACCATGGATCTATAGGCTCTAACCATGGATCTATAGGCTCTAACCATGGATCTATTGGCTCTAACCATGGATCTATAGGCTCTAACCATGGATCTATAGGCTCTAACCATGGATCTATTGGCTCTGACCATGGATCTATAGGCTCTAACCATTGATCTATAGGCTCTAAGGCTCTAACCATGGATCTATAGGCTCTAACCATGGATCTATAGGCTCTAAGGCTCTAACCATGGATCTATAGGCTCTAACCATGGATCTATAGGCTCTAACCATGGATCTATAGGCTCTAACCATGGATCTATAGGCTCTAAGGCTCTAACCCATTTTAATGCACAACATGGGTCTAAAATGACCGTGTTCATTTCCCGGGTCTCTGATGCTGAGCATTTATTTGCTGTATCTTTTTAAATCAATGTATTTTAGAATTTAATAATCCAAGTATTCTTTAAATATCTTGTTTTTGATTACCATACATCAGTATTTATTTATTTATTATTATTCTGCCTTACTTTTTGAAAAAAAAAAAAAATCGTATTACTATATAAATTTTACACACGTGTGTCAAAAATGACCTATTTATCCAATTGCGATTTAAGAATAAATGAAGGCACATAATATTAATATGTTGCTTTAAAAAACTATTTTAGATGCAATTTGTGCCAAACAATTATATATTTACCTTTTGAAACATGTTTGTCATTTTGGAACACATACAAATACATTATTAAAAAAAACTCAAAATAAAATAAAATATAACCGATAACAGAAGAGCACAACAATTGAGTTAAGATTCCTCACGTGTAGCACAAGTAGCCGCTACAAGTTTGTGTTTATTGCACACAGGCTTCTTGCACTGGGAACAATAATAATAATCTTAATCTGAGCACGTTCTGACTGAGCCTTAAAACTAGATTCTCCAACGGGACAAAGCAAAATGTTTTAAAGAGATACAGAGATGAAATAAGAAATATAAATGCCTTTGTCCCGTTGAAGAATCTAGTTGTAAAATTAGTTTAAAAAAACACTTGATTCAAGTATTTATGACCTCATATTAAATAATTTCTTTGCTGTATGTTGTAAACGGGAAATATTTGGGAATATTGAACACGCTGCAAAAAAAAAAAACAAAAAATTAGGTAATCATTGCTTGAATCAAGTGTGAGGCCAGTCCCTGTGCTCCTCAGAGTCCCAGCAGGAGTCCAGTCCCTGTGCTCCTCAGAGTCCCAGCAGGAGGCCAGTCCCTGTGCTCCTCAGTCCCAGCAGGAGGCCAGTCCCTGTGCTCCTCAGAGTCCCAGCAGGAGGCCAGTCCCTGTGCTCCTCAGAGTCCCAGCAGGAGGCCAGTACCTGTGCTCCTCAGAGTCCCAGCAGGAGGCCAGTCCCTGTGCTCCTCAGAGTCCCATGTAGCAGGTATTGTACTGTACTATACATACATTTAAGGTAGTTGTTAGGCTAGATCTCAGAAGACTGGGTGCGACTCGCAGAGAGAGAGGCAGAGACTGGATATTTGCGTTTAGATAGCTGGTTTGTATTTACATTAATGTGTATGGACAAGACAGACAAAACATGTAAACAAGTGTTAAAATGAATGGCCATTCAGTGCAAATATACAATAATAAATCCCAGGTGTTATATACAGTGTAACGATAGAAGTCAATATTTAACAGTAGTTCAAGACAATTCAACCGCACAGATTGAATGAATAAATAGTTCAGTTCATATAGGGACACGGCCCTTTGATTGTGAGAGCACGGCTCAGTTCGTTCGCACAGATGTAGTGGCAAAGTTTATACGGCCCAAAAGTTTTGAAGATAATCCAGAGGAAGGATGTGGATGGAAGGGAATGAATACGATTGGTTGAAGGCCGTAGAATAAAGTGCGAGTAGTGCAATCGAGTGTGAGGGGTGGCTGCGAGAGCCTCCTACCAGCCCGGACAGAGCAGTAGGTGGGGTCCTCGAAGGAATCTCCCGGTGAGTCGTTTCTCTAGGCTAAAAGCCTGTTCCTTAGCTCGCCATCATTCAAATGTGGCCTGTGTAAAAACAGCAGTACCATCTAAATCAATTCATGTGTACACAATCTTGTTCATTCTAAATAAATAACACTTACTGTATTATAAAGACCTGAGATATCTCTCTAAATAAAGTATCAATATTGCACAATATAATTCATAAAGACTAGTCATATCAATGTATCAAAATACTAGAGTATAGTGCTAGAGTAGAAAATATTAGCAGCATATACAATTCAACATGTTTATAAAACACAGAGAAGCACAATACCAACACTTAAAAGTACATAGCTAGTCCCAAAGTGAGTAACTTTAGTGAAACTGCTATGCTATTTATGCTATGTATTTAAGCAGACCATATTATTATAATGCTGACTAAAAAACGCCATGTGCATATATAATAATTCAAACAAACATTCGGTTATTAAACATAAGCATTGATCATCATGATTCATTAATTTACGTCATGGATACACGGAGGCAATTGAATGAGGAGCGGCAATCACTAAATGCATTGACTTACCGACTCCACTTTCTAAAACACGCAAGGCTCAATCGGACAACGATCCGGCGCTGGTGATCGGCTCTACAGTGAAACAAGCAAGTGGCATTTAATTTCCAAAGTCATACAGGTAATAGTCACGAGAAAAATGCATGAAACACACCTCTGCAGCAACAAACACAGCTTCCCCTCGCGTATGCGCCGCTTCCAGGTTCACGCATATAGCAACACTGATTGGGTGGCTGCGGTCACATGACCACTCGCTCCGCAGCCAAAGAGTAACAATGGCCCAAGAGCATATGCCAAGTCAAACAGGTGGCTTTTGACACCAGTGTTACACCCTCCCCTCTTAGAATCATGCACCTCCGTGTGCATGTTAGACAATGTGAATGGGTAACTCTAAACTAGCCATTGCTGCAGGGGTGGTGCTAAGTGCTTCACCATAAGCATCGGCCAGACTATGAAAAAGTGTCTGGACGACGGAGACTAATGGATTGCCTAAACCGGAATAACCAAAGCGCCTAGGCGGCTGTCGCTGTCTAGTGGATCGTCCAATTAACCTGGATATCGGCATGATCGATGTCAACAGGTTCTTCACCTTAGGTAAAAATGCACAAACATCTTTGCCGTCCAGAAATGCACAAAGCGCCTCTCGCTGTTCATCTTTCAAAAAAGAAATTGGAGATTCTGCTAAAACTGACTTGATAGCCTCAGCTACGCGTCCGTCCTCCTGCGTAGCCATGTTTGTTTTGCTTCGGCCCGGCACTTCTTGCTTTCGTCAAACCCGGATATCCCGCCCTAAACCCCCAGACTGGCGCGTGATTGGCTCGCACACCCAGTGGTTCGACTCGAAAAGTGTAAGCGGGAGCGGTACAAGATGTATTCTCGAGTGTTTGTGAACTCACAAATACCGCGAGAATTCAGCTTGCAGGCAAGGTTATAAAGCAATAGTTTACAGACCAGAAAGTCTCATTCCACCCTTGTTTACACACTAAGATAATTGTAAAGCCACACACCTGAACCTAATCACACTCAATAATCTCAGAATTACTCATGTAATTTAATTTTAATCCACTAGATGGCGCCAGAATACTCCAAACTGCAGCTGGGGCGTGTGTGAGAGTTGAATGGGTTCATATCACTGGCTCTGACAGACTGACACAAAACAACTGATGTCATAGAGAACTTCAGAGTCAATGGAGAGGCCAGGACCAAATTCAAATGTAGTACCACCAAAAAGGTTGAGAGGGCGCCACACAGCATTATTTGGCTCAAAAGTGATATTTTATCTAATTTGAACTAAAAGGTCAAAAAAATGACCAGCATATGTAGACAGCACTACAATAAACATACTTATGCAGTTTATGAGTTTAAAAAAGTTGATTTGGTGTTTAGTCGCTCTTTAACAAACTCAACTTTTTTTCTGGATGCTCAAAGAGGTTTTACAAAAGCACAAAGGGTCTAGTGTGTAATGTGTTTATGTGTTCAGAGCTGAGGCCGCACTTCAGCCTGGCCTCAGAGAGCGACCCCGCCGACCCGGACGACGTGGACGAGGACCCTGAAGGCGGCCTCTCGCAGCCTCACCACAGCCGCAGAGCTTCTGTGGCTCAGAACGAAGACTCCACGGCTCCAAACGAAGACACCGTGGTCACCTCCGGGGTCAGCACGCTCAGCTCCACCGTGTCCCACGAGTCTCACGCCGCACAGAGGTCTGTGACGCTGCAGCTGGGACGGATGAAGCTGGAGACCAACAGGTGAAGCACATTCATCCACTGTCAGAGACCAACGACCTGTGGCTTTGGAACTGTGTTTAGTAAAGACACAACTATCAATCAATCTTTATCTGTAGCACTTATCCTACACAGAGCAACAGAAAGTGGATCACGGCCCCTTTCACATCATCACATGAATCATAAACAATGAAATCACATGGAACATTATAAACATGAACATTGAAATGGAAGGGATTAAAATAATAACAAACCAAAGTGCATTAAAACTAGATCCACAAATGTTATGTTATGTACTGTTCCTGTAACTCCTCAAAAAGTTGGTTTGAGCTGCGAGAAAGAGACCACTTGTTCCGTAGTTTGTATGGTTTTGATCATAGCCTGTGTAGATAAAATGATGCAGAAAAAATACATGTTCACTCTTGCCAAGTAGTAGTAGTAGTAAGTAAGTAATGTTTATTTATATAGCGCATTTTTACAGACCAAGGTACAGACCCAAAGCACTTTACAAAGTTCAGAGTCAGATATTGTTCCAATCCTTCCACACACGGTGATGACAGAAGCGAGTCCAGAACACACTGGACCATCAAAGCCTCTGACCCAACACCATCCATTCACTCTCTCATCTACACTCAGACTTATTGTGCATGTTTTTAGTGGCAGGGGAAACCGGAGCACCCGGAGGAAACCTACGCAGGCACGGGGAGAACATGCAAACTCCACTCAGAAAGGCCCTGTTCTGACCGGGATTCGAACCCAGGAGGCAAGAGTGCTATCCGCTCAGCCACCGTGCCGCCCATTAAAGTAGTTCCATGATACAGCCACGTTGTATAAGCTGATTAAAACTAAAACAGAACTTCATCATTGACTCCTCGCTCACTCCATCGGTCCGTTCATAAATGGACAATACTAACCCGCTAGCTCAAGGAACCCCAATCAGTAAGTGCTTGTAGTAAAGTGTTATGACGGCTGAGTGGATAGGACTCTCGCTTTTGAGAAAGAGGAGGTTCGAATCCCGGTCGGAACAGGGTCTTTCTGAGTGCAGTTTGCATGTTCTCCCCGTGTCTGCAATCATCGTAGACATATTTCACAGACTGGAGCGGCAGTATCCCAGTGTAGGATGCGGATTCACTGTCTCTGTCTGGACTCAGGGCCTTAGTTTCTCGTTTCCAGTGGTGTAGAAAACATAACACTTCTTGCGCAGGTTGTTGGAGCAGCTGTTGGAGAAGGAGCGAGAGTACCAGGCCATTCTTCAACAAGTGCTGGACGAGAGAGAGCAGGAGATCCGGCTCCTGAAGCTGAGATCGGAGCCCACAGGTGACTATCTGCACACACCAGCGAGAATTCAAAATATATCATTTATTTAAGCACGACTTCTTGATTTTTATTCTATTCTATACTTGTTTGCACCGAGAGCCATTTCCCATTTATGGAGATATTGAGAGAATTAATAGTATTTTGTGTGTGTTTATAATCATTGCTATTTTATAATGGTTGTATGGTTGTAAAACTAGCTGCTAACTAGCTAATACTGGTTCATTTACAGAGATTTTTGGACTATCCCTATTCTAAATAAACTAACAACAAAAGCTTTCTCTTTCCCATACATCCTTTGACCTGCTCCGTTCCTCTTCAGAATGAATCACAGTCATTGCGACACATTTCTCTACAGTCGTTTTGCACTTTGCGGTTTCGATTGTACAACAGGAAGTGGTGTAGAAAGTAAAAGTGGTCTCTCTTTTGCAGACGTGGCCACATCCGCCCTGGGTCAGCCGGGACCGAGGAGCCTCACCACAGAGCGGCCTGAGGACTCGGAGCTGACCCGATGGCTGCGGCTCTACGGAGCGGACCAGAACTCTATCGACAAAGTGCGGAACGCTTTATTATTATTATTATTATTATTATTATTATTATTATTATTATTATTATTATTATGAGCTCAGACCAAAAGTATTCAACTGTTAGAACTCCCGGAGCCGTCGTTTTGTCTCCTCCGTGTCTCCTCTCTGTGTCTCCTCCGTGTCTCCTCCGTGTCTCCTCCGTGTCTCCTCTGTGTCTCCTCTGTGTCTCCTCCGTGTCTCTTCTGTGTCTCCTCCGTGTCTCCTCCGTGTCTCCTCCGTGTCTCCTCTGTGTCTCCTCCGTGTCTCCTCCGTGTCTCCTCCGTGTCTCCTCCGTGTCTCCTCTGTGTCTCCTCTGTGTCTCCTCTGTGTCTCCTCCGTGTCTCCTCCGTGTCTCCTCCGTGTCTCCTCTGTGTCTCCTCCGTGTCTCCTCCGTGTCTCCTCCGTGTCTCCTCTGTGTCTCCTCTGTGTCTCCTCCGTGTCTCCTCCGTGTCTCCTCCGTGTCTCCTCCGTGTCTTCTCCGTGTCTCCTCCGTGCCTCCTGTGTAACTCCTCCGTGTCTCCTCCGTGTCTCCTCCGTGTCTCCTCCGTGTCTCCTCCGTGCCTCCTCTGTGCCTCCTCCGTGTCTCCTCCGTGTCTCCTCCGTGTCTCCTCCGTGTCTCTTCTGTGTCTCCTCCGTGTCTCCTCCGTGTCTCCTCCGTGTCTCCTCCGTGTCTCCTCCGTGTCTCCTCCGTGTCTCTTCTGTGTCTCCTCCGTGTCTCCTCTGTGTCTCCTCTGTGTCTCCTCTGTGTCTCCTCTGTGTCTCCTCCGTGTCTCCTCTGTGTCTCTTCCGTGTCTCTTCCGTGTCTCCTCTGTGTCTCCTCTGTGTCTCCTCCGTATCTCTTCTGTGTCTCCTCTGTGTCTCCTCCGTGTCTCCTCCGTGTCTCCTCCGTGTCTCCTCCGTGTCTCCTCCGTGTCTCTTCTGTGTCTCCTCCGTGTCTCCTCTGTGTCTCCTCTGTGTCTCCTCCGTGTCTCCACCGTGCCTCCTCCGTGTCTCCTCCGTGCTTCCTCCGTGTCTCCTCCGTGTCTCCTCCGTGCCTCCTCCGTGCCTCCTTCGTGTCTCCTCCGTGTCTCCTCCGTGTCTCCTCTGTGTCTCCTCCGTGTCTCCTCCGTGCCTCCTCTGTGCCTCCTCCGTGTCTCCTCCGTGTCTCCTCCGTGCTTCCTCCGTGCCTCCTCCGTGTCTCCACCGTGTCTCCTCCGTGTCTCCTCCGTGTCTCCTCCGTGTCTCCTCCGTGCCTCCTCTGTGCCTCCTCCGTGTCTCCTCCGTGTCTCCTCCGTGTCTCCTCCGTGTCTCCTCCGTGCCTCCTCTGTGCCTCCTCCGTGTCTCCTCCGTGTCTCCTCCGTGTCTCCTCTGTGTCTCTTCCGTGTCTCTTCCGTGTCTCTTCTGTGTCTCCTCCGTGTCTCCTCCGTGTCTCTTCTGTGTCTCCTCCGTGTCTCCTCTGTGTCTCCTCTGTGTCTCCTCCGTGTCTCCACCGTGCCTCCTCCGTGTCTCCTCCGTGCTTCCTCCGTGTCTCCTCCGTGTCTCCTCCGTGCCTCCTCCGTGCCTCCTTCGTGTCTCCTCCGTGTCTCCTCCGTGTCTCCTCCGTGTCTCCTCCGTGTCTCTTCTGTGTCTCCTCCGTGTCTCCTCCGTGTCTCCTCTGTGTCTCCTCTGTGTCTCCTCCGTGTCTCTTCTGTGTCTCCTCCGTGTCTCCACCGTGCCTCCTCCGTGTCTCCTCCGTGCTTCCTCCGTGCCTCCTCCGTGTCTCCTCCGTGTCTCCTCCGTGCCTCCTCCGTGTCTCCTCCGTGTCTCCTCCGTGTCTCTTCTGTGTCTCCTCCATGTCTCCTCCGTGTCTCCTCCGTGTCTCCTCCGTGTCTCCTCCGTGTCTCCTCCGTGTCTCCTCCGTGTCTCCTCTGTGTCTCCTCCGTGTCTCCTCCGTGTCTCTTCTGTGTCTCCTCCGTGTCTCCACCGTGCCTCCTCCGTGTCTCCTCCGTGTCTCTTCTGTGTCTCCTCCGTGTCTCCACCGTGCCTCCTCCGTGTCTCCTCCGTGTCTCCTCCGTGTCTCCTCCGTGTCTCTTCTGTGTCTCCTCCGTGTCTCCTCTGTGTCTCCTCTGTGTCTCCTCTGTGTCTCCTCTGTGTCTCCTCCGTGTCTCCTCTGTGTCTCTTCCGTGTCTCTTCCGTGTCTCTTCTGTGTCTCCTCCGTGTCTCCTCCGTGTCTCTTCTGTGTCTCCTCCGTGTCTCCTCTGTGTCTCCTCTGTGTCTCCTCCGTGTCTCCACCGTGCCTCCTCCGTGTCTCCTCCGTGCTTCCTCCGTGTCTCCTCCGTGTCTCCTCCGTGCCTCCTTTGTGTCTCCTCCGTGTCTCCTCCGTGTCTCCTCCGTGTCTCCTCCGTGTCTCTTCTGTGTCTCCTCCGTGTCTCCTCCGTGTCTCCTCTGTGTCTCCTCTGTGTCTCCTCCGTGTCTCTTCTGTGTCTCCTCCGTGTCTCCACCGTGCCTCCTCTGTGTCTCCTCCGTGCTTCCTACGTGCCTCCTCCGTGTCTCCTCCGTGTCTCCTCCGTGCCTCCTCCGTGTCTCCTCCGTGTCTCCTCCGTGTCTCCTCCGTGTCTCCTCTGTGTCTCCTCCGTGTCTCCTCCGTGTCTCCTCCGTGTCTCTTCTGTGTCTCCTCCATGTCTCCTCCGTGTCTCCTCCGTGTCTCCTCCGTGTCTCTTCTGTGTCTCCTCCGTGTCTCCTCTGTGTCTCCTCCGTGTCTCCTCCGTGTCTCCTCTGTGTCTCCTCCGTGTCTCCTCCGTGTCTCTTCTGTGTCTCCTCCGTGTCTCCTCTGTGTCTCCTCTGTGTCTCCTCCGTGTCTCCTCCGTGTCTCCTCTGTGTCTCTTCCGTGTCTCTTCCGTGCCTCCTCCGTGTCTCCTCCGTGTCTCCTCCGTGTCTCCTCCGTGTCTCCTCTGTGTCTCCTCTGTGTCTCCTCCGTGTCTCCTCCGTGTCTCTTCAGTGTCTCCTCCATGTCTCCTCCGTGTCTCCTCCGTGTCTCCTCCGTGTCTCTTCTGTGTCTCCTCCGTGTCTCCTCTGTGTCTCCTCCGTGTCTCCTCCGTGTCTCCTCTGTGTCTCCTCCGTGTCTCCTCCGTGTCTCTTCTGTGTCTCCTCCGTGTCTCCTCTGTGTCTCCTCTGTGTCTCCTCCGTGTCTCCTCCGTGTCTCCTCTGTGTCTCTTCCGTGTCTCTTCCGTGTCTCCTCTGTGTCTCCTCTGTGTCTCCTCCGTGTCTCTTCTGTGTCTCCTCGGTGTCTCCTCTGTGTCTCCTCTGTGTCTCCTCCGTGTCTCCTCCGTGTCTCCTCCGTGTCTCCTCCGTGTCTCCTCTGTGTCTCCTCTGTGTCTCCTCCGTGTCTCCTCCGTGTCTCTTCTGTGTCTCCTCCGTGTCTCCTCCGTGTCTCCTCCGTGTCTCCTCCGTGTCTCCTCCGTGTCTCCTCCGTGTCTCTTCTGTGTCTCCTCTGTGTCTCCTCTGTGTCTCCTCTGTGTCTCCTCTGTGTCTCCTCCGTGTCTCCTCTGTGTCTCCTCCGTATCTCTTCTGTGTCTCCTCCGTGTCTCCTCCGTGTCTCCTCCGTGTCTCCTCCGTGTCTCCTCCGTGTCTCCTCCGTGTCTCTTCTGTGTCTCCTCCGTGTCTCCTCTGTGTCTCCTCTGTGTCTCCTCCGTGTCTCCACCGTGCCTCCTCCGTGTCTCCTCCGTGCTTCCTCCGTGTCTCCTCCGTGTCTCCTCCGTGCCTCCTCCGTGCCTCCTTCGTGTCTCCTCCGTGTCTCCTCCGTGTCTCCTCTGTGTCTCCTCCGTGTCTCCTCCGTGCCTCCTCTGTGCCTCCTCCGTGTCTCCTCCGTGTCTCCTCCGTGTCTCCTCCGTGCCTCCTCCGTGTCTCCTCCGTGTCTCCTCCGTGTCTCCTCCGTGGCTCCTCCGTGCCTCCTCTGTGCCTCCTCCGTGTCTCCTCCGTGTCTCCTCCGTGTCTCCTCCGTGTCTCCTCCGTGCCTCCTCTGTGCCTCCTCCGTGTCTCCTCCGTGTCTCCTCCGTGTCTCCTCTGTGTCTCTTCCGTGTCTCTTCCGTGTCTCTTCTGTGTCTCCTCCGTGTCTCCTCCGTGTCTCTTCTGTGTCTCCTCCGTGTCTCCTCTGTGTCTCCTCTGTGTCTCCTCCGTGTCTCCACCGTGCCTCCTCCGTGTCTCCTCCGTGCTTCCTCCGTGTCTCCTCCGTGTCTCCTCCGTGCCTCCTCCGTGCCTCCTCCGTGCCTCCTTCGTGTCTCCTCCGTGTCTCCTCCGTGTCTCCTCCGTGTCTCCTCCGTGTCTCTTCTGTGTCTCCTCCGTGTCTCCTCCGTGTCTCCTCTGTGTCTCCTCCGTGTCTCCTCCGTGCTTCCTCCGTGCCTCCTCCGTGTCTCCACCGTGTCTCCTCCGTGTCTCCTCCGTGTCTCCTCCGTGTCTCCTCCGTGCCTCCTCTGTGCCTCCTCCGTGTCTCCTCCGTGTCTCCTCCGTGTCTCCTCCGTGCCTCCTCTGTGCCTCCTCCGTGTCTCCTCCGTGTCTCCTCCGTGTCTCCTCCGTGTCTCCTCTGTGTCTCTTCCGTGTCTCTTCCGTGTCTCTTCTGTGTCTCCTCCGTGTCTCCTCTGTGTCTCCTCTGTGTCTCCTCCGTGTCTCCACCGTGCCTCCTCCGTGTCTCCTCCGTGCTTCCTCCGTGTCTCCTCCGTGTCTCCTCCGTGCCTCCTCCGTGCCTCCTTCGTGTCTCCTCCGTGTCTCCTCCGTGTCTCCTCCGTGTCTCCTCCGTGTCTCTTCTGTGTCTCCTCCGTGTCTCCTCCGTGTCTCCTCCGTGTCTCCTCTGTGTCTCCTCCGTGTCTCCTCCGTGTCTCTTCTGTGTCTCCTCCGTGTCTCCACCGTGCCTCCTCCGTGTCTCCTCCGTGTCTCCTCCGTGTCTCCTCCGTGTCTCTTCTGTGTCTCCTCCGTGTCTCCTCTGTGTCTCCTCTGTGTCTCCTCTGTGTCTCCTCTGTGTCTCCTCCGTGTCTCCTCTGTGTCTCTTCCGTGTCTCTTCCGTGTCTCTTCTGTGTCTCCTCCGTGTCTCCTCCGTGTCTCTTCTGTGTCTCCTCCGTGTCTCCTCTGTGTCTCCTCTGTGTCTCCTCCGTGTCTCCACCGTGCCTCCTCCGTGTCTCCTCCGTGCTTCCTCCGTGTCTCCTCCGTGCCTCCTCCGTGCCTCCTCCGTGCCTCATTCGTGTCTCCTCCGTGTCTCCTCCGTGTCTCCTCCGTGCCTCCTCCGTGTCTCCTCCGTGTCTCCTCCGTGTCTCCTCTGTGTCTCCTCCGTGTCTCCTCCGTGTCTCTTCTGTGTCTCCTCCGTGTCTCCACCGTGCCTCCTCCGTGTCTCCTCCGTGTCTCCTCCGTGTCTCCTCCGTGTCTCCTCTGTGTCTCCTCCGTGTCTCCTCTGTGTCTCCTCTGTGTCTCCTCTGTGTCTCCTCTGTGTCTCCTCCGTGTCTCCTCTGTGTCTCTCTCCGTGTCTCTTCCGTGTCTCTTCTGTGTCTCCTCCGTGTCTCCTCCGTGTCTCTTCTGTGTCTCCTCCGTGTCTCCTCTGTGTCTCCTCTGTGTCTCCTCGTGTCTCCTCCGTGTCTCCACCGTGCCTCCTCCGTGTCTCCTCCGTGCTTCCTCCGTGTCTCCTCCGTGCCTCCTCCGTGCCTCCTCCGTGCCTCATTCGTGTCTCCTCTGTGTCTCCTCCGTGTCTCCTCCGTGCCTCCTCCGTGTCTCCTCCGTGCTTCCTCCGTGTCTCCTCCGTGTCTCCTCCGTGTCTCTCCGTGCCTCCTCCGTGCCCTCTGTCCCTCCGTGTCTCCTCCGTGTCTCCTCCGTGTCTCCTCCGTGTCTCCTCCGTGTCTCCTCTCTTCTGTGTCTCCTCCGTGTCTCCTCCGTGTCTCCTCTGTGTCTCCTCCGTGTCTCCTCCGTGTCTCTTCTGTGTCTCCTCCGTGTCTCCACCGTGCCTCCTCCGTGTCTCCTTCGTGTCTCCTCCGTGTCTCCTCCGTGTCTCTTCTGTGTCTCCTCCGTGTCTCCTCTGTGTCTCCTCTGTGTCTCCTCTGTGTCTCCTCTGTGTCTCTTCCGTGTCTCTTCCGTGTCTCTTCTGTGTCTCCTCCGTGTCTCCTCCGTGTCTCTTCTGTGTCTCCTCCGTGTCTCCTCTGTGTCTCCTCTGTGTCTCCTCCGTGCCTCCTCCGTGTCTCCTCCGTGCTTCCTCCGTGTCTCCTCCGTGCCTCCTCCGTGCCTCCTCCGTGCCTCATTCGTGTCTCCTCCGTGTCTCCTCCGTGTCTCCTCCGTGTCTCCTCCGTGTCTCTTCTGTGTCTCCTCCGTGTCTCCTCCGTGTCTCCTCTGTGTCTTCTCTGTGTCTCCTCCGTGTCTCTTCTGTGTCTCCTCCGTGTCTCCACCGTGCCTCCTCCGTGTCTCCTCCGTGCTTCTTCCGTGCCTCCTCCGTGTCTCCTCCGTGTCTCCTCCGTGCCTCCTCCGTGTCTCCTCCGTGTCTCCTCCGTGTCTCCTCCGTGTCTCCTCGTGTCTCCTCTGTGTCTCCTCTGTCTCTCTGTCTCTCTGTGTCTCCTCCGTGTCTCCTCTGTGTCTCCTCTGTGTCTCCTCTGTGTCTCCTCTGTGTCTCCTCTCCGTGTCTCCTCTGTGTCTCTTCCGTGTCTCTTCCGTGTCTCTCCTCGTGTCTCCTCTGTGTCTCCTCTGTGTCTCTCTGTATCTCTTCTGTGTCTCCTCCGTGTCTCCTCCGTGTCTCCTCCGTGTCTCCTCCGTGTCTCTTCTGTGTCTCCTCCGTGTCTCCTCTGTGTCTCCTCTGTGTCTCCTCCGTGTCTCCACCGTGCCTCCTCCGTGTCTCCTCCGTGTGTTCCTCCGTGTCTCCTCCGTGTCTCCTCCGTGCCTCCTCCGTGCCTCCTTCGTGTCTCCTCCGTGTCTCCTCCGTGTCTCCTCTGTGTCTCCTCCGTGTCTCCTCCGTGCTCCTCTGTGCCTCCTCCGTGTCTCCTCCGTGTCTCCTCCGTGTCTCCTCCGTGCTTCCTCCGTGCCTCCTCCGTGTCTCCTCCGTGTCTCCTCCGTGTCTCCTCCGTGTCTCCTCCGTGTCCTCCTGTCCCTCCGTGTCTCCTCCGTGTCTCCTCCGTGCCTCCTCCGTGTCTCCTCCGTGTCTCCTCCGTCTCCGTGTCTCCTCCGTGCCTCCTCCGTGCCTCCTCGTGCTCCTCCGTGTCTCCTCCGTGTCTCCTCCGTGTCTCCTCCGTGTCTCTTCTGTGTCTCCTCCGTGTCTCCTCTGTGTCTCCTCTGTGTCTCCTCCGTGTCTCCACCGTGCCTCCTCCGTGTCTCCTCCGTGCTCTCGTGCTCCTCCGTGTCTCCTCCGTGTCTCCTCCGTGCCTCCTCCGTGCCTCCTTCGTGTCTCCTCCGTGTCTCCTCCGTGTCTCCTCCGTGTCTCCTCCGTGTCTCTCGTGTCTCCTCCGTGTCTCCTCCGTGTCTCCTCCGTGTCTCCTCCGTGTCTCCTCCGTGTCTCCTCCGTGTCTCCTCCGTGTCTCTTCTGTGTCTCCTCCGTGTCTCCACCGTGTCTCCTCCCTGTCTCCTCCGTGTCTCCTCCTCCGTGTCTCCTCTGTGTCTCCGTGTCCCGTGTCTCCTCGTGTCTCCTCTGTGTCTCCTCTGTGTCTCCTCTGTGTCTCCTCCGTGTCTCCTCCGTGTCTCCTCCGTGTCTCTCTGTGTCTCCTCCGTCTCCCCGTGTCCCCCGTGTCTCCTCCGTGTCTCCTCCGTGTCTCCTCCGTGTCTCCTCCGTGTCTCCTCCGTGCCTCCTCCGTGTCTCCTCCGTGTCTCCTCCGTGTCTCCTCCGTGTCCCCGTGTCTCTCTGTGTCTCCTCCGTGTCTCCTCTGTGTCTCCTCTGTGTCTCCTCTGTGTCTCCTCCGTGTCTCCTCTGTGTCTCTTCCGTGTCTCTTCCGTGTCTCTTCGTGTCTCCGTGTCTCCTCCGTGTCTCTCGTGTCTCTCGTGTCTCTCCGTGTCTCCTCGTGTCTCCTCTGTGTCTCCTCCGTGTCTCCTCCGTGTCTCCTCCGTGTCTCCTCCGTGTCTCCTCCGTGTCCTCCGTGCCTCCGTGTCTCCTCCGTGTCTCCTCCGTGCTCTCCTGTGCTCCTCGTGTCTCCTCCGTGTCTCCTCCGTGTCTCCTCCGTGTCTCCTCCGTGTCTCCTCCGTGTCTCCTCCGTGTCTCCTCCGTGTCTCCTCGTGTCTCCTCCGTGTCTCCTCCGTGTCTCCTCCGTGTCTCCTCCGTCTCCTCCGTGTCTCCTCCGTGTCTCCTCCGTGTCTCCTCCGTGTCTCCTCCGTGCCTCCTCCGTGTCCTCCGTGTCTCCTCCGTGTCTCCTCCGTGTCTCCTCCGTGTCTCCTCTGTGTCTCCTCTGTGTCTCCTCCGTGTCTCCTCCGTGTCTCTTCTGTGTCTCCTCCATGTCTCCTCCGTGTCTCCTCCGTGTCTCCTCCGTGTCTCTTCTGTGTCTCCCGTGTCTCTCGTGTCTCCTCCGTGTCTCCTCCGTGTCTCCTCCGTGTCTCCTCCGTGTCTCCTCCGTGTCTCTCCTCCGTGTCTCTCTGTGTCTCCTCCGTGTCTCCTCTGTCTCCTCTGTGTCTCCTCTGTGTCTCCTCCGTGTCTCCTCCGTGTCTCCTCGTGTCTCTTCCTCCTCCGTGTCTCCTCCTGTCCCTCCGTGTCTCCTCCGTGTCTCCTCCGTGTCTCCTCCGTGTCTCCTCTGTGTCTCCGTCTCTCCTCCGTGTCTCCTCCGTGTCTCTCTCCGTGTCTCTCTCTGTCTCCTCCATGTCTCCTCCGTGTCTCCTCCGTGTCTCCTCCGTGTCTCCTCTGTCTCCTCCGTGTCTCCTCGTGTCTCCTCCGTGTCTCCTCCGTGTCTCCTCCGTGTCTCCTCCGTGTCTCCTCCGTGTCTCCTCTGTGTCTCCTCCGTGTCTCCTCTGTGTCTCCTCTGTGTCTCCTCCGTGTCTCCTCCGTGTCTCCTCTGGGTCTCTTCCGTGTCTCTTCCGTGTCTCCTCTGTGTCTCCTCTGTGTCTCCTCCGTGTCTCTTCTGTGTCTCCTCGGTGTCTCCTCTGTGTCTCCTCCGTGTCTCCTCCGTGCCTCCTCTGTGCCTCCTCCGTGTCTCCTCCGTGTCTCCTCCGTGCTTCCTCCTGCTCCTCGTGTCTCCTCCGTGTCTCCTCCGTGTCTCCTCCGTGTCTCCTCCGTGCTCCTCCGTGCCTCCTCGTGCTCCTCCGTGTCTCCTCCGTGTCTCCTCCGTGTGTCTCCTCCGTGTCTCCTCCGTGTCTCTCTGTGTCTCCTCTGTCTCCTCCGTGTCTCCTCCGTGTCTCCTCCGTGTCTCCTCCGTGTCTCCTCCGTGTCTCCTCCGTGTCTCCTCCTCCTCGTGTCTCCTCCGTGTCTCCTCCGTGTCTCCTCCGTGTCTCCTCCTGTCTCCTCCGTGTCTCCTCCGTGTCTCCTCCGTGTCTCCTCCGTGTCTCCTCCGTGTCTCCTCCGTGTCTCCTCGTGTCTCCTCCGTGTCTCCTCGTGTCTCCTCGTGTCTCTCCGTGTCTCTCCGTGTCTCCTCCGTGTCTCCTCCGTGTCTCCTCCGTGTCTCCTCCGTGTCTCCTCGTGTCTCCTCTCGTGTCTCCTCCGTGTCTCCTCCGTGTCTCCTCCGTGCCTCCTCTGTGCCTCCTCCGTGTCTCCTCCGTGTCTCCTCCGTGCTTCCTCCGTGCCTCCTCCGTGCTCCTCCGTGTCTCCTCCGTGTCTCCTCCGTGCTCTCTCCGTGTCTCCTCCGTGTCTCCTCCGTGTCTCCTCCGTGTCTCCTCCGTGTCTCCTCCGTGTCTCCTCTCCTCCGTGTCTCCTCCTGCGTGTCTCCTCCGTGTCTCCTCTCTGTGTCTCCTCCGTGTCTCCTCCGTGTCTCCTCTGTGTCTCCTCCGTGTCTCCTCCGTGTCTCCTCCGTGTCTCCTCCGTGTCTCCTCCGTGTCTCCTCGTGTCTCCTCCGTGTCTCCTCCGTGTCTCCTCCGTGTCTCCTCCGTGTCTCCTCCGTGTCTCCTCGTGTCTCCTCCGTGTCTCCTCGTGTCTCCTCCGTGTCTCCTCCGTGTCTCCTCCGTGTCTCCTCTGTGTCTCCTCCGTGTCTCCTCCGTGTCTCCTCCTCCTCGTGTCTCCTCCGTGTCTCCTGTCCGTGTCTCCTCCGTGTCTCTCCGTGTCTCCTCCGTGTCTCCTCCCCGTGTCTCTCGTGTCTCGTCCGTGTCTCCTCTGAGTCTCTCCTCGTGTGTCTCTCCGTCCTCTCGTGCTCTCCTCCGTGTCTCCTCGTGTGTCTCCTCCGTGTCTCCTCCGTGTCTCCTCGTGTCTCCTCCGTGTCTCCTCCGTGTCTCTGTCCCTCCGTGTCTCCTCCGTGTCTCCTCCGTGCTCCTCTGTGGTCTCCTCCGTGTCTCCTCGTGTCTCCTCCGTGTCTCCTCCGTGTCCTCCTTGTCTCCTCTGTGTCTCCTCCGTGTCTCCTCCGTGTCTCCTCCGTGTCTCCTCCGTGTCTACTCCGTGTCTCCTCCGTGTCTCCTCCGTGTCTCCTCTGTGTCTCCTCCGTGTCTCCTCCGTGTCTCCTCCGTGTCTCCTCCGTGTCTACTCCGTGTCTCCTCCGTGTCTCCTCCGTGTCTCCTCCGTGTCTACTCCGTGTCTACTCCGTGTCTCCTCCGTGTCTCCTCTGTGTCTTCCCTGAAGCGCCACCAAGACTTGCTAAATTAAAGCTGGGGTGCGTACATTTTGCCGTTCATGTCGGTTGTGCATAAAGTAAAAGGTTGTGAATAAATCAAACAGATTGAAAACATTTGGGATGAAGGACATGTGTCATTACCTTTGACGGAGTGGGTTTGAAATAGAATGTTAAGAATGCAATTAATCAACTAAAAACAAATTATGGTTTGACAGCCCTAATATTTATAGTTCAAATAGATATGTAATGTCTCTGAAGTGGATCAATCAGGAGCATGTGTTCAATCCTTTGGGGAGCTACCTGAAAGGGGGTGGTGAGCTACTGGTAGCTCCTGAGCCACAGGTTGGAGACCCCTGGTTTAGATCCATCCACGCTAACACCAGGAATAATCAGAAACTATTAAGCTACGGTGAGTCCAGTAGTGAAGGGTCAGGCTCTGGTCTCTGGTCTGGTCCCTGGTCTGGTTTCTAGTCTGGTCTCTGGTCTGGTCTCTGGTCTGGTCTCTGTTCTGGTCTCTGGTCTGGTCTTGGTCTGGTCTCTGGTCTGGTCTTGGTCTGGTCTCTGGTCTGGTCCCTGGTCTGGTCTCTGGTCTGGTCCCTGGTCTGGTCTCTGGTCTGGTCTCTGGTCTGATCTCTGGTCTGGTCTCTAGTCTGGTCTTGGTCTGGTCTCTGGTCTGGTCTTGGTCTGGTCTCTGGTCTGGTCTTGGTCTGGTCTCTGGTCTGGTCTCTGGTCTGGTCCCTGGTCTGGTCTCTGGTCTGGTCTCTGGTCTGATCTGGTCTCTAGTCTGGTCTTGGTCTGGTCTCTGGTCTGGTCTTGGTCTGGTCTCTGGTCTGGTCTCTGGTCTGGTCTCTGGTCTGGTCTTGGTCTGGTCTCTGGTCTGGTCTCTAGTCTGGTCTTGGTCTGGTCTCTGGTCTGGTCTTGGTCTGGTCTCTGGTCTGGTCTCTGGTCTGGTCCCTGGTCTGGTCTCTGGTCTGGTCTCTGGTCTGATCTGGTCTCTAGTCTGGTCTTGGTCTGGTCTCTGGTCTGGTCTTGGTCTGGTCTCTGGTCTGGTCTCTGGTCTGGTCTCTGGTCTTGGTCTCTGGTCTGGTCTCTGGTCTGGTCTCTGGTCTGGTCTTGGTAAAACAAACCTGTCTCTCGTTCCTGTTTGTGAACCGTCCCTAAATGGTGATGTCACACAAATGTTTCTGAGGAGTTTACTTTTACATGAGGTCAATCGGAGCCAGAGAGAGGGGCCACACTTCATCCATGAGCACTTCCCTGTTGGGTTTCATTGAGCTAGCGTGTTAGCATGGTCCATTAGTATGCAGTGTGTGGTTTAGCCGCAGTCCGACACTGGGCGAGGCTTTAAATCAATGTCTCTGTGATAACATCAGTTTCCGAGCAGAACGCTTATCATTCCCCTGGTCCCCGAGTCCATGACCGAGGGACCAGAACGAGTCTCACCACCCCCTGGTCCCCGAGTCCATGACCGAGGGACCAGAAAGAGTCTCACCACCTCCTGGTCCCCGAGTCCATGACCGAGGGACCAGAACGAGTCTCACCACCTCCTCTCGGCACCCGACTTCCCAAACACCTGTGAGGAGTGGATTATCTCAGCAGAGGAGAAGGGCTCACTAACACACATCTAGACAGTAACAGTGGGAGAGAGCAGAGAGAGAGAGCGGAGAGAGAGAGCAGAGAGAGAGAGAGCAGAGAGAGAGCAGAGAGAGAGAGAGAGCAGAGAGAGAGAGAGCAGAGAGAGAGAGCAGAGAGAGAGAGAGCAGAGAGAGAGAACAGAGAGAGAGAGAGCAGAGAGAGAGAGAGAGCAGAGAGAGAGCAGAGAGAGAGAGCAGAGAGAGAGAACAGAGAGAGAGAACAGAGAGAGAGAGAGCAGAGAGAGAGAGAGAGCAGAGAGAGAGCAGAGAGAGAGAGCAGAGAGAGAGAACAGAGAGAGAGAGCAGAGAGAGAGAACAGAGAGAGAGAGCAGAGAGAGAGAACAGAGAGAGAGAACAGAGAGAGATAGCAGAGAGAGAGAGCGGAGAGAGAGAGAGCAGAGAGAGAGAACAGAGAGAGAGAGCAGAGAGAGAGAGAGCAGAGAGAGAGAGCGGAGAGAGAGAACAGAGAGAGAGAGCAGAGAGAGAGAACAGAGAGAGAGAGAGAGCAGAGAGAGAGAACAGGGAGAGAGAGCAGAGAGAGAGAGAGCAGAGAGAGAGACCAGAGAGAGACCAGAGAGAGACCAGAGAGAGACCAGAGAGAGACCAGAGAGAAACCAGGGAGAGACCAGAGAGAGAGACCAGAGAGAGACCAAAGAGAGAGAGAACAGAGAGAGACCAGAGAGAGACCAGAGAGAGAGACCAGAGAGAGACCAAAGAGAGAGAGCAGAGAGAGACCAGAGAGAGACCAGAGAGAGACCAGAGAGAGACCAGAGAGAGAGAGACCAGTGAGAGAGACCAGAGAGAGACCAGGGAGAGACCAGAGAGAGAGACCAGAGAGAGACCAGAGAGAGACCAGAGAGAGAGAGCAGAGAGAGACCAGAGAGAGAGAGAGCAGAGTGAGAGACCAGAGAGAGACCAAGTGTGACATCACCACAGTGTGACATCACCACAGTGTGACATCACCACAGTGTGACATCACCACAGTGTGACATCACCACAGTGTGACATCACCACAGTGTGACATCACCACAGTGTGACATGTGTCCTTATTTGGGCGTTTAATACGGTCAAATAGAGTTAGCATTATTGTCCATCTGTGTAAAGTCTATGGCTGTGTTTGGGGCAAGAGAAAACATGCGCTCCTGATTGGCTGTTTGGTTGCTAGGTCGTTGCTACCCACACACTTGGCCTCCAGAATCCTGCCCGGTCGAGTCCAGGGGAGGCGCCCGTACGGTGGCCTGTGTGGGACAGTCTTTGGGCCATTCACACAGCTCTCAGAAGCTGAATATGCCTCTGTGGGACTGGATAAAGCCGCAGAAACCGGAGCGGGACTATTGTGAGCGCGGGACAAAAGCAGCAAACATCCAGTGAAACGCGAGTCTCAGCGGGACCCACGGCGTGTCCCGGGGCCCGACAGTCTGTCCCGGGGCCCGACAGTCTGTGCAGACGGAAAACACTGAAGAAGTCCCTCAGACCCACAGGGAGCGGGAGCTTCTACTGTTTCTCATCAAAATAACAAAGGGTCCAAAACGCAGCCTTGTGGTGCTCCCAGGCCACTTCACATTCACTGACCTGCGGCTGTGTTTGGATCACAGCTCTCTGTGTTTGGATCACAGCTCTCCAAACTTTTCCAGTGGAGAGCTACTTTAACTAAACAGAACTGGCAGAGAGCTACTCCTTTAGCAGTCGTAATACAAATGTAGTCTATAGATTTATAGTTCAAATAGATATGTAATGTCTCTGAAGTGGATCAATCAGGATCATGTGTTCAATCCTTTGGGGAGCTACTGTACCTGAAAGGGGGTGGTCTGGTCCCTGGTTTGGTCTTGGTCTCGGGTCAGTTCCTGGTTCACAGGGATCACAGTGTCACTGTTGCAACAACACATCCTCAGTCGGTAAAACAAACCTGTCTCAGGTGTCCCAATGCTGGGTGGATTCTGCTCCACAAGGAGCAACATCGAAGGCTTACGGACTGCGCTGGTCTCTGGTCTGGTCTCAGGGCCTGGTCTCAGGGCCTGGTCTCAGGGCCTGGTCTCAGGGCCTGGTCTCAGGGCCTGGTCTCTGTTCTTGGTCTGGTCTGTGGTCAGGCCCTGGTCTCTGGTCAGGCCCTGGTCTCTGGTCTGGTCTCAGGGCCTGGTCTCTGGTCTTGGACTGGTCTGTGGTCAGGCCCTGGTCTCTGGTCAGGCCCTGGTCTGGTCTGGTCTGGTCTCAGGGCCTGGTCTGGTCTGGTCTGGTCTCAGGGCCTGGTCTCTGGGCCTGGTCTCTGGTCTCAGGGCCTGGTCTGTGGTCAGGCCCTGGTCTCTGGTCTGGTCTCAGGGCCTGGTCTCTGGGCCTGGTCTCTGGTCTCAGGGCCTGGTCTGTGGTCAGGCCCTGGTCTCTGGTCTCGGGCTGGGGTTCAGTTTAGGGTTAGTTGTATTCTCAGTATTTTCCGTCCTCAGACTCTGGTCTGGGTTCTCACCCTGGTCTCAGCTCAGGCCCTAGTATTAGTCTGGTCGGGTCTTGGTCTCTGGTCTGGTCCTGGTCTCTGGTCCTGGTCTCTGGTCCTGGTCTCGGTCTCTGTAACGTCAGACGCCCTCTGAGGCCTTACACAAAGCACTGCATCGTTCTGACCGCTGTTATTGTGAAGCAGCTAATCACACATCTAAACAGACACACACATTCACCAGCTGTAACACAAGACTCTGCACTACACACTCTATACACACACACACACACACACACACACACTATACACACATGAATACACTATACACACATACACTAACACACAAACACACTATACACACATGCACACACACACACACACACTATACACTATACACACACATTACATGCACATGCACTATATACACACACACACACACACTAACACACATGCACACTATACACTACCGACTACACACACTACACACACACACACACATAAACATACACACACACATACACACATCCATATGTATAACCATACACACTACACACACACCATACACATAGGGGGGTGGCAGCATCATGCTGTGGGGCTGCTGTTCTTCAGCAGGGACAGGGCAGAGTGTCAGCGCTGATGGAACCAAATAGAGGACAGTGTTAAAGAAAAGCTAAGTCTCTTCTCTCTCACTCTCCTCTCTCTCTCTCTCTCCTCTCTCCTCTCTCTCTCCTCTCTCTCTCCTCTCTCTCCTCTCTCCTCTCTCTCTCCTCTCTCTCTCTCTCTCTCTCCTCTCCCCTCTCTCCTCTCTTTCTCCTCTCTCTCTCTCTCTCTCTCTCCTCTCTCTCTCCTCTCTCTCGTCCTCTCTTTCTCCTCTCTCTCCTCTCTCTCCTCTCTCTCTCCTCTCTCCTCTCTCTCCTCTCTCTCCTCTCTCCTCTCTCTCTCCTCTCTCTCTCTCTCTCGTCTCCTCTCCCCTCTCTCCTCTCTTTCTCCTCTCTCTCTCTCTCTCTCTCTCCTCTCTCTCCTCCTCTCTCTCTCCTCTCTTTCTCCTCTCTCTCCTCTCTCTCCTCTCTCTCCTCTCTCTCCTCCTCTCTCTCTCCTCTCTCTCTCTCTCTCTCTCCTCTCCCCTCTCTCCTCTCTTTCTCCTCTCTCTCCCGTCTCTCCCCCTCTCCTCTCTCTCTCTCTCTCTCTCCTCTCCCCTCTCTCCTCTCTTTCTCCTCTCTCTCCCGTCTCTCCCCCTCTCCTCTCTCTCTCTCTCTCTCTCCTCTCCCCTCTCTCCCGTCTCTCCCCCTCTCCTCTCTCTCTCTCTCTCTCTCCTCTCCCCTCTCTCCTCTCTTTCTCCTCTCTCTCTCTCTCTCTCTCTCCTCTCTCTCTCCTCTCTCTCTCTCTCTCTCTTTCTCCTCTCTCTCCTCTCTCTCCTCTCTCTCTCCTCTCTCCTCTCTCTCCTCTCTCTCCTCTCTCCTCTCTCTCTCCTCTCTCTCTCCTCTCTCTCTCTCTCTCTCTCCTCTCCCCCTCTCTCTTCTCTCTCCTCTCTCTCTCTCCCCCTCTCCTCTCTCTCTCTCTCTCTCTCCTCTCTCTCTCTCCTCTCTTTCTCCTCTCTCTCCCGTCTCTCCCCCTCTCCTCTCTCTCTCTCTCTCTCTCCTCTCCCCTCTCTCCCGTCTCTCCCCCTCTCTCTCTCTCTCTCTCTCTCTCTCCTCTCCCCCTCTCTCCTCTCTTTCTCCTCTCTCTCTCTCTCTCTCTCTCCTCTCTCTCTCCTCTCTCTCTCCCTCTGTAAGAAATCCTCTCTCTCCCGTCTCCTCTCTCTCTCTCTCTCTCTCCTCTCCCCTCTCTCCTCTCTTTCTCCTCTCTCTCCCGTCTCTCTCTCCTCTCTCTCTCTCTCTCTCTCCTCTCCCCCTCTCTCCCGTCTCTCTCCTCTCTCTCTCTCTCTGTCTCTCTCTCTCCCGTCTCTCCCCTAAAAACACATCTCACGTCTCTTCAGTCTGCAATTTCGGTCTGACATCCCGACTGAGATTTGTACATAATTAGAAAAATCATTCATGAAATTGTAATTATCCATCTGAGACATGGAGGAGAAACGGGCGATTAATATTCACATGATGCAAAGCAGTCTGGGCCCAGTGCTGTTTACAAAAATATCTGCTCAGGATAAAAACAGGGGAATAAGTCCTCTCCACGGACAGAACTAAAGATTGGATTTGTTCATTGAGATATCAGCAAAGACCAAAATACAACATCAGCAAAGTATGAATCTTATCCAGGGCTGGTTCTAGCTTTCAGCAGGGCCCAGGGTAGAATGTGTTTTGGGCCCATTTTAGAAAATGTACTGGTTTGTTTAAACATTCACAGTGAGCCAGATGGGAAAGGTTTATTATACTGAAGACCAGAGAGAGGGACCAGAGAGGGACCAGAGAGAGACCAGAGAGAGAGACCAAGAGAGACCAGAGAGAGGGACCAGAGAGGGACCAGAGAGAGACCAGAGAGAGAGACCAAGAGAGACCAGAGAGAGGGACCAGAGAGGGACCAGAGAGAGACCAGAGAGAGAGACCAAGAGAGACCAGAGAGAGACCAGAGAGAGACCAGAGAGAGACCAGAGAGAGGGACCAAGAGAGGGACCAGAGAGAGACCAGAGAGAGAGACCAAGAGAGACCAGAGAGAGGGACCAGAGAGGGACCAGAGAGAGACCAGAGAGAGACCAAGAGAGACCAGAGAGAGACCAGAGAGACCAGAGAGAGACCAGAGAGAGGGACCAGAGAGGGACCAGAGAGAGAGACCAAGAGAGACCAGAGAGAGACCAGAGAGACCAGAGAGAGACCAGAGAGAGAGACCAAGAGAGACCAGAGAGAGACCAGAGAGACCAGAGAGAGACCAGAGAGAGGGCCCAAGAGAGGGACCAGAGAGAGACCAGAGAGAGAGACCAGAGAGACCAGAGAGAGACCAGAGAGAGAGACCAAGAGAGACCAGAGAGAGGGACCAGAGAGAGACCAGAAAGCATGAGAGAACAGAGAGGGATCAGAAAGAGACCACAGAGAGACCAAAGAGAGAGAGAGACTAGAGAGAGACCAGAGAGAGAGACTGGAGGGACCAGAGAGAGACCAGAGAGAGACCAGAGAGAGACCAGAGAGAGACCAGAGAGATACCAGAGAGAGACCAGAGAGGTACCAGAGAGATACCAGAGAGAGACCAGAGAGAGACCAAAGAGAGAGAGAGACCAGAGAGAGACCAGAGAGAGACCAAAGAGAGAGAGAGACCAGAGAGAGACCAAAGTGAGAGAACAGAGATCACAGAGAGAGACTAAAGAGAGGGACCAGAAATCCATCCATCCATTTTCTTCCTCTTCATCCGTTGCCGGGTCGCGGGGGCAGCAGTCTAAGCAGAGACGCCCAGACACCAGTTCGTTACTAAATCACCAAAGAGTCAGGGCCGTCTCTTCTCTGTGGGAAAAACTGAGACTCGGAAAACATGGAGACCGAGAAGAGACTGAGGTCCAAGCAGCAAAACACCAAATCTACAACCTCTTCCATTCACACAAGACAATTCTTTTATCTCCTCTTTCTTTTTATTGCCCAATAAAGATGGGAATGCCTTATCAGTCTTTATCAACCTCATGATCAAATGTATCCAGCACAATGTTTTATGACTGAAACCAAGAATGGAAAACAGTCTCCCATTATGCATTCCAAAGTATGAACACCACTGAATAATTCATAAAGTATGGGTTAGAGCAATATGTTCACCTTCAGGGGGGTTCTCGCATCTGTCTCCGTGAGATCAAAGCACGGATGGAAATGATGATATTATACAATACACTTGAGTTTCTCCAGGGATCAATAAAGTCTGTCTG